TTGCTCCAGTAATTTCTTGGAGTATTTTAAAGTTTAAAAATAAAAACAAATTTGCAGTTTAAAAATGAGGCTGGGACGTTGTCTTTCCTCATCACTGTGTAAAGCTCAAATGTGCTGTATACAAAATGATTTGGAAGCAGCAGGAAGCCCCAGAGCTGCCGGCCTCCAGCCCAGCTCAGTGGGTGAGATCTGGGGAGGGTGTGGATGGCTTCTGGGGGTGCAGAGTCAGGCTGAAGTGCTGACCAGTGCCCCAGGGGCCAGCTGCCCTCCAGCAGCATGAGATTGAGCCCTCTAGCATCCGTGTTTTTGAGCTATGGACTCTGCCTGCAACACGGACTCACAGGCTGTGATGGGAGCCCTGCACACTGGGGAGGGGCAGCCCTGTCCCTCTGCCCTCCCCCACCAGCACCGGCAGCTTTGGAGCTCCATCCTTTTTCTCACCTCTGACGGGTGTGTCCCTTTGCCCCAGCTATGACCGAGGGGCCACGGTGGCCGGTGTGGTGGGCGTTGGGCGGCTGATCACGGGCATGGACCGAGGGCTGCAGGGCATGTGCGTGAACGAGCGGCGTCACCTCATCGTGCCACCCCACCTGGGCTACGGCAGCATCGGCGTGGGTAAGGGGCCCTGGCACGGGGGGGGTGAGGGACCAAAACCCCCAGGGCTGGCCTTAGCAGGGACAGGGCTCCAGTGCCTCCCTGGCAGATGCGGCTTAAGGGTGGCTCCATGGCCAGGGCGAGTGATGCTGGAGTGGGGCTTCCCTGGGAAGGAGGGGTCCTGCCCCCAGCTGGCCTGTGCTGCTTTCCCAGGGGCTGGCGTGGGTCACCAGCAGCCCTGAGCAGCAGCAGCAGCTTCAGGGGAGGCTTCAGGGGACAGAGCCCATGGCCAGCCTGGGCTTAGTCTTAGTCCCACTTAAGGTGTTCTGTCCTTGCTGCTGCCCCTTTAGCGGGGCTGATCCCCCCAGATGCCACCCTGTACTTTGACGTCGTCATGCTGGACATCTGGAACAAGAATGACAAGCTGCAGATCACCACCCTGTCCAAACCTGAGCGCTGCAACCGCACGGTGGAGAACTCGGACTTCGTGCGGTACCACTACAACGGCACCCTGCTGGATGGGACCCCCTTCGACTCCAGGTATGCGCCACTGGGATGCACCTGGCCTCAGGGCAGGGGGCTGTGGGGCTGGGATGCACCCTCTGCCTTGCCACTGGGTCACTAGGGGTGGCTGGGACCCAGGGGCACCAGGCTGGGCACACAGTCGGAGCAGCCTCACCCTGTACTCCCTCCTGGCTCCCCAGCAGGGCTGGTGCAGCTCCGTGACCCCCCAAACCAGCCTCTGGCACAGCCCTGCTCTGGCTGGGGCTGCTGAGCCGTCCCCAGCCTCATTCTCCACCAACAGCTACAGCAAGGGCAGCACCTACGACACCTACGTGGGCACCGGCTGGCTGATCAAGGGCATGGACCAGGGGCTGCTGGGCATGTGCGCTGGGGAGAAGAGGAGCATCATCATCCCCCCGTTCCTGGCCTATGGGGAGAAGGGCTATGGTGAGCCAGGCACCACCCTATCGTGCCAGCCCCTTCCCTCCCAGCTCTGACCAGAGCCCCCTAGTACAGAAGGACCCTCCTTCAGGCTGACCCGTGTCCTCCCCCAGGGACTGTGATCCCACCACAGGCATCGCTGGTGTTCAGCGTGCTGCTGGTGGATTTCCACAACCCCAAGGATGGTGTCTTTCTGGAGCACCTGGAGGTGCCAGAGTCCTGCAAACGCCGGGCTGTGACCGGGGACTTTGTCCGCTACCACTACAATGGGACACTCATGGACGGGACACTCTTTGACTCCAGGTGTGGGAGGAAGCAGCTGCGTAGGGAGAGCCCCTGATGTCCTCTCCCTCCCCACAACTGCAAGGAAAGGCTGGAGAGGGGGCAGTGGGCATGAAATAGGCTAAAAAGGACAATATCTGTTTATTGCATCTCTTGGAGCAAGGTTTGGTTTCTGGAGGAGCAGGAGAGGCTGAGAGGAGGGGTGTGGGTTGGGGGGTAGGGTCTGGGGCATTGATGGTGCTGGGGGTTCTCTTGCTGCAGTTACTCCCGCAATCAGACCTACAACACCTACATTGGGAAGGGCTACATCATCCCTGGCATGGATCAGGGGCTGCAGGGGGTCTGCGTGGGAGAGCAGCGGCGAGTGGTCATCCCCCCACACCTGGCTTACGGGGAGAACGGTGCAGGTAAATGTGCAGAGGGCTCTGAGAGACGAGCACATCAAGGGGTGTGGGAAGCAGCAGGGAAAGGCTTCACCTGCCCTGCAGCGCTCCAGCAGCTCCCCTCATCCTCCTCTTCCAGGAGATAAAATCCCCGGCTCAGCCGTGCTCATCTTTGATGTCCACATCATCGACTTCCACAACCCTGAGGACCCGGTGGAGATTGAGACCGTGTTCCGGCCCGAGGGCTGCAATGTCACCACCCGCCACCGGGACTTTGTCCGCTACCACTACAACTGCTCCTTGCTGGACGGCACCCGGCTCTTCTCCTCGTGCGTGCCCCGAGCATTCCCGTCCTTCCTGGGGCCAAACCCTGCCTGGCACTGGGCTGGGGGTGGGCAGGCACCGGGCAGCACCGGGACCATCCGCTCTGCCACAGGCAGGGCTGGAGCATCACAGGGCACGGGGCAGCAGGATGGGGCAGCGGGGAGGAGAGTTCAAGGGACACAGTGGGATGGAGGGTGTGGAACTTCATGGCATATCAGGGTGGAGGATGTGGGATTCTGGGCCATGGTGGGATGGAAGGGTTGGGATTTCAGGGTTGCCCACTAGATCCGAGGGACTTTTCTCACCTGCGCTGTTTCCTCTGTGTCTCCTGCAGCCACGACTATGAGAAGCCCCAAGAGGTAACTCTGGGGGCCAACAAGGTGATCGAGGGGCTGAACAGTGGCCTGCTGGACATGTGTGCAGGGGAGAGGCGGGTGCTCATCATCCCCCCACACCTGGGCCACGGGGAGAGCGGAGGTAGGGGAGTGGTGGCTGATGTGTGCAATGAAAACTGGGTGGTTCAGCCTTGCTGAGCCCCTGCTGGGCTCCATCCCCTGTCCTGCCAGGGCTGTAGGCTCAGAGCCAGGGCTTTGCTTTGCCCCCTGTGGTGCTGGAGCTTTTGCTGTGTTTTCAGCCCGGGGGGTGCCTGGCAGCGCTGTGCTCCGCTTTGAGGTGGAGCTGGTCTCCATGGAGGAGGGGGTTCCTGAGGGCTACCTCTTCATCTGGCACGGGGAGCCACCAGCCAACCTGTACGAGCAGATGGACCTCAACAAGGACGGGGAGATCCCTGCTGATGAGGTGAGTGGCTCCCAAATGCTGGGGTTCAGGAGGAAATGGGGCACAGGGGACCCCACCCTGGGCAGCAGCACTTGAAGGGCACTGCTGCCCCTGCGCACTTGGGAGCCTGCAGAGCTGTGCAGGAAGAACACCCCAGCCAAAGCATTGCTGCTGGGTGAGGGCAGTGTCCCCGAGGGCAGCCTCTGCTCCAGTCCCTGCCTGTCCTTGGCACGGGCCATGGTCTCCCTGCCCTGCCCCAAGCAGCATCTCTTCCCTCTCCCCTCTCCAGTTCTCCACCTTCATCAAGACCCAGGTGGCGGAGGGGAAAGGCCGCCTCATGCCCAGCTCCGACCCAGAGAAAGTCATTGCTGACATGTTCCAGAACCAAGACCGCAACCAGGATGGGAAGATCACACCCAACGAGCTGAAGCTCAAGTCGGATGAGGACCAGGAGAAGATTCATGAGGAGCTCTGAGGAGCAGTCCCTGCTGTTCCTGGAGACAGGACTCATCCTCGCCGTGTCATGGCCGGTCTCCCACCCTGGGAATCTGCCCCTCCCCAGTCCTGCAGGGGGCTGGGTTTTGGTTTTCACCTCTTATTAACTGAGGGTATTTTGATGTGTTCTCCTGAGCAGGAAAACTCAGCCCCCAGCTAATAAACCCAGACTAGAAGATGTCCCCTCCCTAAGCCCCTTCATCCTCCACCAGCGACTGCAGGTCCAGCTCCAGCCCCCTCCCCTGTCTGTGCTGCCTCAGGGGGCAGGCAGGATACAGGGGGGCTCCCCCTCACCTCCACCACAGCATTTTGTAGTTTAGGGTTGGGGATTGGGTTTTTTATATATACACTTAAAATTCTTTAGAGGGAAGAAAGAGAAGGCTTTTGTCCCTGTCCCTGCTCTGCCCCTGCTGCCCTGGGCCAAGAGGCTGAAGGGGGCTCAAGTTCCCAGGGTGGAACCCCAATACTCTGCAGGCATCTGCCATTCCAAAAGTCTGGGCCCCCTGCAACTGTGGGACCCGGCAAACACCTCATCAGCTGGGAGAAGGGAAACAGACCTTCACCCCCAGCCCTCAGGGAGCAGCACTGTCCCCCTTCACACCCTCCCCACCTCCTAGCCCCCAGTGATTGAGACAAATCAAACCCATTTAGTTTCAATGCCCAAATGCAGGTCACAGCCTTGGAGTGCTCAGGTCCTCCTGGGACCAGCACAGCTCTGGCACCTGCCAGCTCCCAAAGCCCCTGCAGTCTGTCCTCAACAGGGACAGAAGAAATGCAGAAGCACATCAGTGCAGAGTGAATCCCTCAAATGGGGACTTGCCTTGCACCAAATAAATAATTCCTCCAGGTTTCCAAGGAGTTTGACTGTGTTTGGTTACTTTGCCATGGAACGTGGTCATGTGTTGGCAGCACAGGGACCAGCTTTGCCTGGGGGATTCCAGGCTCCAGCATCCACTGGGTCTGGCAGGAGAAATCAAAATTCCCTCCTGGGATCCTCCACCAAAGGCAACAAAGCTTCAGTTCCAGCAGCTGGTGAGGGCTGGGGGGCTCTGGTGGGATGGGGAGCTGGGGAGCAGAGGCAGCTGCCAGCACCAGCCCAGGGAGCAGAGCAGCTCCAGCCCCTCGGCGCTGGCTACAAACCACCTGTGACCCAGCTTTAGACAATTTTGTTTTTATTCCAAAACAGAGAACAAATCTGCTCTTCCCATAGTCCAACATAACCAGAGGTTATACAGAAATAAAATAGTCTTTTCCTATTGCTGCTCTGAGAGCCAAGGATCAGCCCAGAAATTTAGTATACAAACATGGTCAGGTAAAACATTGCTTAAAACTCAAAATTTTGCCATTGGCCCCTCCTCCCCCATCCCCACCCTACTCCTCTGATCCCTGGCAGACAAACTTACTTCTGGCTTTGGGCAGCAGCTGCAGCTGAGCTCTGGGTCTTGAGGGACGGCTGGAAAAAGCTTTTTTTCCAGAGTAAGAGCTGCACTGGTGCAAGAGAGATGGGTGAGCTGAGACACGAGGCTAGAGAGCTGCTGGTTTACATGGGGAATGTGGGGCTGGGTGATGTGATGGCCAGCAGGGCCACACCAGCCCAGCAGCTGCACTGGCACCAGAGTCAGCCCAGGAGCTTTGAAGTCCACAGAAAACAGGACGAGAGAGAAACTTGTTTTCTTAGTCAGGAACACAGTGGCACATCTAAACCAGGCCTCAGCCCACAGTAAACTGTCTCCATTCCACCCTCAGCTGCTGAAGCAAATGCAGAACATCTCTGCCTGAAATGGGGAATGGTTTGTTGTGGCCTCAGGAGGTGGCAGGGGTGAATTCCCAGTGGGACGAAGTCACTCTGGGTGGGAAACTGCAGAGCCAGGCAGGGTTGGTGTAAAGGAGAAGCTTCCTCCTTCTCACCTCTCCTGCTCCAGGGCTGGCTGAGGGCATTAGTGAGGTCAGGATGGAGCCCAGCCAGCTCCAGCAGGTCCCCACCAGCTCTGTCCTGGGAAGGACATTCCCTGCCCCGTGCCTGCTGCGTGGCTGGAGCTGGGACACCACGTCCCCAGCTCATGTCTCAGCCAGGATGTACCGCAGAATCCCGTTCACCACGTCCAGCGTCTCGTCGCTCTCCAGCACAATGTCATAGGAATCCAGGTACTTCCCCCTCCGCTCCTCCACCTGCCAGGACCATGAACAACCAGCAGCTGAGGGTGAGGATGTTCCACCCACAGTACTGAAAAGGGAGTCAATAACTACCCTGACCACTTCCCAGACACAGTGGGAGCTCAGCAGACCCCCAGGTCCCTGCACACACCCCACAGGAGCTCATACAAATCCCTTACATGCCCAAATCACTGGGGCAGCCCCCTGCCCTTCCCTGCTGGGGGAAGGCTGGTAGGGAAGCACTAAACTGCTCCTCTCACCCACCTTGTCATTGAGAAAGCCAATCTTGAGGATGTTCTCCACACTGGGAACACCATCTGCCATCGTCAGGTCACCCATGGAGTCCCCCAGCAGGATGATGCTCGTCCTTGTGCTCAGCTGCTGGAAGTACTCCGTGCCCTGCAGCACGGTGTTGTTCTTGTTGTAGGTGTGGATGAGGGGTCCCTTGAAGTGCGTGAGGATTCCCTGAGCACATGGGACAGACAGACAGACAGACAGACAGCTCTTAACCTGATGGTGGCACTGTTAATCACGTCCCAGTCCTCAGTCCCAGCACCACACCACTCCCTCCACACACTCACCACACGGATGCAATGCAAGAACTCACAGCATCATTGAAGTCCATGTAGTTGGACACCACATTGACGTTGGAGTAGAAGACGTTGGCCTGACGGATAATCTCTTCCAGGATATCGCCAACGCCAGCCGAGAAGATGAACAGGGGGACGTTGTTCTTATGCAGCTGATCAAAGAACTCCCTGAAGCCATCCCTAGAGCAGGAGTGTCCATTGCACAGGGCTGTGTTACCAGCTCCCAGCGTGGTGCCTGGTGCCCTGTGCTCAGCCCAGCTCCTGTTCCTGCCCACATTCCCAAACAGAAACACATGTGCAAGCTCTGCAAACAGCACGAGCTCTCTGTGGCAGCAGCACTCCCGTGGCAGAACCCCAGAGCTCTGGGTGCAGCAGCTGGGAGGGTGCTTGTGGGAATATTTTGCCTGGCATCTCCTGAGCACCTCAGCTGCTCAGCAGGGGCACAGGGCACACTGCCCACACACACCCACACAAGTGGGAGATGTGCAACAGGTCAGACTGGTTGGGAGGATGATCACAACAACTGTGACAGCCCCAGTCTGCCAGGACACAATTCCATAAAGAAGTGGAACCTGGGCTCATGAAAAGCTATCTCCTCCCTGAGCCTGGCAGCAACCTGGCAGAGCCCAGCTCCCCGAGCTGGCCTTAGGGCCACTGCTGCCAGGTCAGCTTTAGCAGCAAGTTCTAGCACAACATTTTTGTGCTGTGGGTGAAATCTGCTGCTAAGCCAAGTGCCGGGTCTGCATAAGGCTTGGCAGTTCCAGTGCAAAGAGCACAGCTCTGCTGGAAGCAGAGAGCTGCAGGCTGCCCCTGCATCCTGCCCTGCAAATGGGGAGCTGTGCCCAGCACCAGCCCCTCAGCTGCTCCTTGCCAAGGCCCAGGAGAGGGGTGGTGGTTTCAGAGCAGGAAGGGAGCAGCCTGCAGCCAAGGAGTAAGCTCAGGCTGTGGCTCATGTTCTGACTTCCTTAGAATTCAGCCCCAGGGAGTGAGCAAGGCAGGCTGGCACTGGTCACACTGCAGTGTGGTGACAGCACAGAGATCTGGTTACATGGGCAGGAGAGAAGGGCTGTGGGCAGCCAAGCTGTACCTCAGCATCACATCCCCATGCCCAAACCTCAGCATCACATCCCCAGGCCCAAACCTCAGCATCACATCCCCATGCCCAAACCTCAGCATCACATCCCCAGGCCCAAACCTCAGCATCACATCCCCAGGCCCAAACCTCAGCATCACATCCCCAGGCCCAAACCTCAGCATCACATCCTGTGCCCATACCTGAGCATCGCTTCTGACTCTCTGACGATCTGAGCTATGTCACCTTTGTGGATCTTCTGCTGCACCAGCAGCTCATGGGCCTTGGTCCACCTGTATGTGATGTGGGAAAGGCAGCAATGACAGAGCTCCCAGAGGCCCTCAGAAGTCAGAAACAACAACTAAATCTTGTGGGATTGCTGCCAAGCCCAGGGATGATTCAAGCCTCATGTCCTGTAGTCCTCAGGTACAAGATGTTGTCAGGACAAGGTCAAGATCACCAAAAACAGGACTCACCACTCCACCATGAGGGGACATTTCTCTTCCAGGGTCCGGTTGGGATCTATTTCAATGGGATAGTAATAGTGGAGCAGATCCTTCAGCTGGGGTGTCACATAGGGGGAAAAAGAACAAAGTGAACATCAGGTCTAAAGAGACTAAGCAAAACTAGCATTTCTGAAGTTCTCCAAAGCATTGCTCTACCCAAACACAGCCAAAACCTTGTCACTGAGCAGCTTCCCTCTGAGCAACTCTCAGCAGTCTGGCTGGCTCTCCCCTTGCTCCAAATGCCCTCCCCTTCCTCCTCTTATCAAACTGAAACACCCACAACTGCATGTGCAAATTCGAGTTCCCTTTTTAACTTCTCTGTCACTGCTGGCTGAAATGCAGCCTGGACACTTTCTCACTCCATCCTGGCAGCCACCACAGCTGGGAGAGCTGCCACACCAGCCAGTGTGACCTCCCGATGACAGGTGACATGTACAAGAGTCACCAAGCCAAGATGTGGTGCCTTACACACAGCACCCACCTTCTTCTTGCCATCCTCGCTGATAACACGGCTGGTATCAAGGATATCTACGAAGAAAATAAAACACCAATGATGTAGCACAGAATCATAAATAGACTTTATACAGCAACTCCCCTGCATCTCAGTGCTGGCTCCTCCCAATACAAGCCGTGGTGACACTGTGACCCGAGCACAGTGGGGTCCCAACGCAGTGGCTCCCACTCTGAGCCCACAGCAGGCCACAATCACAGGGCCTGGCTTGGCCAGACAGCAGCCTCGGTGCCCTGGGCAGTGGGATGAAGGCAGCCAGCCCAGGAGCAGGCTCCTGGCTCCTGCAGAAGCCCAGGCCTGCATGGGGAGGACAGGACGGAGCGGCCAGGCTTGGCACAGGGAATGACAGGAACCACATCAAATACAAACATAGAAACCAAACTGAGCTAGCGACAGTGAAAACAACGGCTTCCACTCACTGTGAGATGTGGGGCAGCGCCTGCCATTGCAACCAAACCTGCTCAGCGTCATGTCAAAGTCGGAAATCACCTGGAAGAGGGGAGAAAACCGAATCCGTGCGTGACCCAGTGCATTCTGCGCTGGCCAGAGTGAGCCCAAGGCGATGCCACCTGTGAGAACGTGCACCCAGCACCACCGGTCTCCCGTGGGCACAGACTGGCAGCGACGACGTGGCCGCTCCTGCCAGCGGCGAGGCAGATCATGTCCTCACCCTCCCACCCCGGAGCTCTTATCGGCACCGAATGGCTTCATCCTGGGCGGAGCAGGGGTTTGGGGACTGGCGCACAGTTAAAGCTTCAGAACTGGGAGTCCGGGGGCCCGCACTCCCTCTCCTCTGGGCTTCTCCCCCTCCAGCTGCACCGCAGGTCCCTCGCGGGGCTGGGAGAAGCCGGGCCGGGGGACGAGGAAGGGGCAGCTGAGAAAAGGGCAGAGCACGGGCGATGCACCGCGGGGCCGGTACCTGCAGTTTGGCCACCCCTTGCTCCCGGAGAGACTGGATGATCCCCCGCACACGCTCGGGCTGCCGGATCCGGACCGTAGCTTTCTCCAGCTCGGGCACCTGCAGGCAGAGACCCCGCTCGGTGACCGAGACCCTCCAGCCCCCTGTGTCCGTCCGTGCTGGCCGCGCTCCCGGCCCGCAGCCCCGCTCTCACCATCTCGGCCGCTCCGCTCCCGCCGGGCCCCGCGGCCGCGGGGCGGGACCGGAACGGGGCCACGGGGCTGCGGCCACCGGGCGGGGCTGCGGGGACCGGGAGGAGCTCCGGGGACCGGGAGGGACTCCGGGGACCGGGAGGGGCTGCGGGGATCGGGAGGAGCTCCGAGGACCGGGAGGGGCTCCGGGGACCGGGAGGAGCTGCGGGGATCGGGAGGAGCTCCGGGGACCGGGAGGGGCTCCGGGGACCGGGAGGAGCTGCGGGGATCGGGAGGAGCTCCGGGGACCGGGAGGAGCTCCGGGGTCCGGGCGGTGCTCGGGGAGCGCTCGGTGCTTTCCGGGGCCGGAGAATCCTCCCCCGCTCCGCCCCGCGCCCGCAGCAGCTCCGAGCGGCGGTTGCGTTTCCCTTGCGACGAGCTCAAAGATACATTAAAAAAAAAAAAAGAAAAAAAAAGAAAAAGGTATCCGGCCGGGCCGTTCTTGGCCGCAGGGTTCCCGGCACCGAACCACCCCGCAGCCCCGGGAACACTGAGGACACCGAGTCAGGAACACTGGCAGGGGGAGAAGCCCTCAAAGAACCATCCCCCAGCATTGCCAAGGCCACCACTAAATGATGTCCTTAAGTGCCACATCCACAAGACTTTTAAATTCCTCCAGGGATGGGCATCCACCCCTACTGCCCTCGGCAGCCTATGTCTGGGCTGAATAAAATTCCCAACATTTGCAATATACAACCCAAACCTCCCCAGCACAACGTCAGTGACAAAGCAGCAGGGCCAGTGTGTGTGACAGCAGTGACATGAGCTGGACTGTACCTCAGCTTCCTCCTGGGTGAGGTGGCACAAGACACTTCAGCAGTGGTTCATGCCCACATCTGGGGGCTGTTACACCCCAGTGAAATATTTCTGAAGGGCTGCCAGGGGATCGATCACATGGCTGGTTCTGCCCCAAGCAATCATCACCACGGTGCAGGTCCAGGACCCGGCATAACCTGGGCTGTAGGAAAGCAAAGGCTGGGGGCAACCACAGAATGCTGGGCCTGGCTCACCCCTGCATCTGTGATGTCATTATGGGGCACAATCCAGAACCAGCAAGGGGGTTCAGTGCTGGATGTTTGGGGACAACACCAGAGTGCTCCACACACCTCAGCAAGGTCCACTGCCTCTGGCTCCAACGTGGGGGATAGCTTGGCACCTACCAAATATTCATCCTCCAACATGGAGAGGAAGATGAGCGATAGGAGTTGCAGCATCTCCAATGAACTCCGCCTGGAAGGGAGATTCTGTGATGTGATCATCAGTGTGGATGGGGTGGAATTCAAGGCTCACAAGCTCATCCTCTCTTGCTGCAGTATCTACTTCAGGTCAGTAGTTGAAACACAAGGGGATGGGGACAAACAGCAATCCCTGATTGAGGTCACCCTGCCTCAGCACTTCTCCAGGACTTCACCTTCACTGAACCTCTCATCAAGTGATTTTCCATAGTCCCCACACCTCCCTGAACACCAGGATTAATCCACATATCAGTGTCTCTAAGCACTGGTGTCTGAGGAGCCCCAGACACAGCCTGGCCAGCCTGGCCCAGCTGCCACAGGGCAGCTTTGCCTTCCCCACACCCTGTGACTCTCTGGAATTCAAGACCAAGTGTTGGTGCTGCACTTGGGTTGAGGCAACCCCACCCCAGTATCAATCCAGGCTGGGGGATGAACGGATTGAGACCAGCTCTGGGGAGAAGGACTTGGGGTGCTGGTGGGTGAGAGGCTGAACATGCTCTGGCTGTGGGCACTGGCCCCCAGACACCCCCCATTGTCCTGGGCCCATCCCCACAGCATGGGCAGCAGGCAATGGGGGGATTCTGCTCCTCTGCTCCTCTCAGGTGAAATCCCCTGCCCTGCTGCCTCCAGCTCTGGTATGCTCCAGAGGCTGTCTCCTTTTTCAAACAACCAGCAAGTAAAACATTAATCAATAAACCATGGGGCCTACCAGAATAGCTCCCACCAGTGCCAAAACTGGTGCCCTGGAGGCAGGGGGAGCACAGGGGATCCAGGGGCAAGGTTTAATGCAGCAACATCATGTTTTTAGGACTCTGTTTACCAACTGGGACAGCGCAGACAAGATGGTCTATCAAATCCCTGGCATTTCAGCTGAAATGATGGGTCTCATCATCAATTACGCCTACACTGGGACAGTACCGATCACAGAGGACAACGTTGAGAGTTTGTTGGCTGCAGCAGATCAGTTTAATGTCATGGGCATCGTCAGCCTGTGCTGTGAGTTCCTCAGTTCCAGGCTGTGCTTTGAGAATTGCATTGGCATTTGCAGACTCACTGACTATTACCACTGCCCCGACCTGCGCGCAGCTGCCTGCGTGTACATCCTGCATCACTTCGAGGAGGTGTCCCAGGTGTCTGAGGAGTTCCTAGATCTCTCTGCTGAGGAGCTGGCACACATCATTGAGAAGGATGAGCTTAACGTGAGGCGAGAAGAAGCCGTGTTTGAGGCTGTGCTGAGGTGGATCGCTCATGACCCGCAGAACAGGAGGCAGCACATCGCCTGCTTGCTCAGCAAGGTGGGTGCAGCACAGCTTTGGAGCTGTCCCCAAAAGCTACCGAGGTAGCCATCAGTGTTAGTACTCCAACCTCCTCCTTGCATGTTTCAGGTTCGACTGGCACTCCTACAATCCGACTACTTCATGAACAACGTCAAAGCTCACGAGTACGTGAAAGACAACGCCAACTGCAAAGATCTCATCATCAGTGCCCTGTCCGAAATCTACGACCTGAACTCCTACGGCCAGAGTTCCTCAGTCAATGCCAACCCGCTCACCCGGCCGCGCCTGCCCTACGCCATCCTCTTTGCCATCGGGGGCTGGAGTGGGGGCGGCGCCACCAGCGCCATCGAGACCTATGACGGCCGCACTGACAAGTGGCTGAACATCCCCTGGGAGCAAGAGAGCCCCGTTGCCTATCACGGCTCGGCTTATTTGAAAGGCCACGTCTACGTTATCGGTGGATTCGATGGCACAGATTATTTCAACATCGTCAAACGGTTTGATCCGCTGCAGAAGACATGGCAGCAGGTAGCACCCATGCACTCGCGGCGCTGCTACGTCAGCGTCACCGTTGTGGACAACTTCATCTATGCCATGGGAGGGTTTGATGGGTACATGCGGCTCAACACAGCGGAGCGGTATGACCCAGACACCAACCAGTGGACCCTGATCACCCCCATGCACGAGCAGAGGAGCGACGCCAGTGCAACCACACTGAATGGAAAGGTAAACTAACCCCAGAGAAGAGCAGTTGAGGTTGCAGCATGAAGAAAGTTCACATCAACTTTCACTAAATTTGTATCACTTAAATTTGTAACAATTAATTAAATCCTGGAGCTACAGATATAAAGTAGCCTGCCTGTTGTGGCAGAGATGTGACCAGGAGGACAAAAATTCTTCTAAAGCTGCTGCCCAAATGGAGCCCAACAGCCCTTTTCCTGGCCATAGGTGCAATACCAGGCCTGTCTGCTTCATGCAGCTTGGAAAATCAAGAGATAAAATCTTGCTGGCATCAACTTTTTGCACTGCTGCTATTTCGAACCCAGGATGACACGACCATTCCCATTCTAAAACAAAACACCCCAAAAAATTCTGCTACACCATTCATTTTCTCTTCAACATGTTTCCTGACCAAGGGTCTAACCACCCCATTCACACTTTCCCACCTCTCCTGTCCACCAGGTATACATCTGTGGTGGGTTTGATGGTGATCAGTGCCTCAGCTCAGCTGAAGTGTTCAACCCCACCACAAACCAGTGGTCCCTGATCGCCCCAATGAGCAGCAGGAGAAGCGGAGTTGGGGTGATGGCGTACGGGAACCAGGTGTACGCGGTAAGGTTTGGGTGGCTGCAGTTCCCAGACCTTCAGGGTGGCCATGTGTTTACATGAGGTTTAGGGAAGTCAGGGCCAGAATGGCTGATGCACTTCCCAAGAATGTTATCACCCATCACACGCTTTTGAGTATGAAAATGGTGTTTGGCAATGTTTAAGCAGCTGCAGCAAAGAACACAATTTCTGCCGCTGCCAACAGCATCAGCAGCACAGAGCAGGGGCTTGGGCCTGTTCATCCATTGTTTATCCTCTCCATGGACTGCATCCAACCTCTGGAGAACTGTCAAAATTGACAGTTGCATAAAGTGCTTTGGAAAGCTCCTCAGAGAGCAGGGATCAATAAGCAAGAGCCATGTTTGGAGATCTCGTGCTCTCTGCCATGCTCAGACTGCAGCCAGGGAGGCAGGAGCAATTCCCATCCCGCTGTGCATGCCAAGATCTGGCTGAGGAAAGGCCCCTTTCAAGCTCTGTCCCTTTGGCATTCACAGGTTGGAGGGTTTGATGGGAACAGCCGGCTCCAGAGCGTGGAAGCGTACAACCCTATCGCCAACGCCTGGCACGCCGTGCCCTCCATGCTAAACCCACGCAGCAACTTTGGCATTGAGGTGATGGACGGCCTGTTGTTCGTGGTCGGGGGCTTTAATGGGTTCAGCACCACCGTTGCCACCGAGTGCTACGAGGAGGACACCAACGAGTGGTACGATGCCCACAGCATGGGCATCACCCGCAGTGCCGTCAGCTGCTGCGTGGTGCCAGGGCTGTCCAACGTCATGGAATACATCGCCAGGCAACACTACTACCAGCACAGCTCCTCCATGGACATCTTGTTCACCAGTTCAACTCGGAGCTCGCCGTTGTAAATAGTTCCCCTTAGCTAGGAGTGTTGTGATCAGCCATCATTGGATGCTTGTGTAAATAGTTCTGCGTATCTAATAAAGTCTTCTGAGCATCCCATCATTGGATGCCTGTGTAAATAGTTCTCTTCAGGTAATAAAGTCCCCATGGCAGCAAGGGAGTATGTTCTCTTGTTCTAAAATAGAAACAATTTTAACAGGCCAAAAGGATCAATGATCCTTTCAAATTTTCAATCAACAGTACTACCCAACATGAGTATGAGCCACACCTTATACATCAACTTAAAAATCAAAAG